CATCATCATCACCGTCGTCGTCGTCACCACTGCAGAGCCTGGGCAGGTGGAGGTAGTGAACGGGATTTGTTCTGCACGTGCTCAGGACTGAAGCGACAGCAGTGTGTCTGGCAGGAATGACATTGGGATATTGGCCACGAGGACACGGGCCGTAGGGGAATGAGCATGATGCCACCGTGGCCGAAGCTGTTGATGCGGCCACCACCACAATCACCACCGCGCCCCACCGCCAACGCTCGCCACCCTCCACCACATCCCACACTGCTACACAGAGGAAACGCTGACCCCACCTCCAAAATCTTCCCTGGCAGTACCATCCCACCTTCTGCTCTTACACAGAGACCCACATACTCACACCACAGAGACCTACAGACTGACACAGAGACCCACATACTTACACCACAGAGACCCACATACTTACACCACAGAGACCTACAGACTCACACAGAGACCCACAGACCTAGACACCCACAGACTTACACAGAAACCCACAGACCTACAAAGAAACCCACATATTTACATAGAGACCCACAAACTCACAGAGACCCACAGACCTACACAGAGACCCAGACTCACACAGAGACCCACAGACCAACACAGAGACCCACAGACTCACACAGAGACCCACGGACTCACACAGAGACCCACAGACCAACACAGAGACCCACAGACCAACACAGAGACCCACAGACTCACACAGAGACCCACAGTCTCACAGAGACCCGCAGACTCCAGAAACACATCGACCTGCCGTGTTAGTCTCCCACCGTCTGCTCTTATGTCTAAAGCGTGTGGTTTAGCCATGTGTGTTTGTTGAAGTACAGAGTTCGCCTGATAACTTTAATCAAAATTGTCTTATGGTTGTTATTGTTTGACTTGCATCCCACTGTGATTTTTGCACGCAGCTTTTGATATCCGGTGTTTATTTCTGGAAGACTTTGCTGTTTTTTCCTGGATTTTTCTGTTGCGCGTAGTCACTTTAAGATGTTATTTGTTCATGTTTTTGTTTGTCGCGGTTGCACCCGAGTCAAGAGGCGCATGGCTCACAGGGCTCTACCTAAAAAATGAAACTGAAATTTCGGGCTCGTGGAAGACCGCTTCAATGCCGGTCTTGGCAATCGGCGTCCCACTCGGCCCCACGCTCTATGCCTGAGATGACATCGAGGCGTTGGAATGTTTGTCTATATCTGCGCGACTAATTCTCTCGCTCTCTCTCTCTCCGTGTGTAAACCTCATTATTTCCTGAAGGCCAGTCGGCCAGAATGTCAGTCTTCCTCTCCTCTCGGCAGAATCGTGGAAACCCTCGCGAACGATAATCACCCTCGTTCGCGACTACATTCATTTACCGGCTCATCGCAAAACCGCTCGTAAACAACCAGCAGGCGCGGCGCACACAGCACAGCCACCCAATGTGTCTCATGCAGCTGCGTGGACCACAACAACGAACTTCCAACAACGAGTCACCGTTGGCTCTTTTGGCTCAGACCTCCGCGCGAGTGAAATGCCAAACGTTACTGTTGTATGCCCTCCACGGACAAAGTGTAATTGACTTGTACGGCACCGCGATGAACGAAGAAGCCGAAACGTGGGTTGCTTCGGCACGCTGGCGCGGGACAGCTGTGCCGCACGTGTGCACGCGCGTCTAACGGTGGGTCGAGCCCAGATCGTTAGACGCACGGGCGTCTAATAATGGGTCGAGCACCGACCGTTAGACGCACGGGCGTCTAACGGTCGGGGGCTCGACCCCGTTGTTCCGACGACGCGGATTGCTCTCTCCCCACCACCACTGGTGCGCTGCAGCAGTGACAATGAACACGTGCCCCCCCCCCCCCCCCGTCTGTTCACGTGACTTTGTATTCGTCTGTGACGGGAGGGCGCGCGACTCAACGTTGGGCATTTGTGCTCGCGCAGCGATCTCACTCCCGAGAAGTCGACGACGAATCGCGCCATCGGCCGCGAAACCCCACGCGTGAAGCCGACAGGTCACGCTGCGCAGACACTCACTGCCGGATTATCCTCATAGCAAAAGTAGCTACGTACGTAGGAGCTACGCACGTAGGAGCTACGCACGTAGGAGCTACGCACGTAGGAGCTACGCACGTAGGAGCTACGAGCCCCGCACTTTCAAGGGCCCCGCGCTAAATGCTTTCAAGCTATCAATTCCGGTTGGCGTCGTTCCTCACCGGCTCCGACTCGCACGCTCAAATTTCGTTCGTCGTTCAATTTCGTTCGTCGTTTTGCGAATGAGAGAGTATTTCGCATTCCTCTAGGCAACGTCAAAATCGTGAACGATGGAGGCACGTGCGGTTCCGTGCACCGCGCCATGGGTGCAGGAATCGGTTAGATCCCTGCAACGATGAAGCATTACACGCACGGCTGGCCAAGTACGGTGCGAAAGAAGTTCAACATACATACGCCACGAGCACGTGGACCGGGTTGAACGATGGATCCGGGCTCCGTTGGAACTCGAGAGTTCGCGTTTGAAGATTTCGAACCCGGGTCGCCGGGTTCGTAGCGCAGCGTAGCGCTAACCGCTGCGCCACCGCTCCACACAACACGTGCGTACGTGCGTGCGTGCGTACAACACATCCCGCAGCCCAATTCAACGACGCTTCTCGTAAAGAAAAGGCCGGGGGCACGTGAGTGCGCCTTCCGGGTACCTTACCCGGAGATGCTCGGGATGCCGCTTCAAACAAACAAGGAAACTCCGCTAACATTTGGCCGAGACAACTGCTGTCGAGGGAGGCGACGTTACATACAGAGGTCGTCGTTTTGCGTTGGAGATTTCGTTTGTTTTTGTGTTAACACCAGTTACCGTGTCTGTGTGGCTTTTAAGCGATGGGAGGAGGAAACCATGGGAAAACACCAGCAGGACAGAGGGAAAGAGAACACAGAAACTCATAACAGAGGCTTTTCTGGTAAGATTGCGTAAATATAGAAATGCGTCGTTTAACCCGCCACCACCCGGCACAGGCAATTAGGAAGGGTTTGTCACGCAAACAGAACGTGCCAATGAGTTACTGGTTCAACACTACACCGGAATATGTGTTGCGTGTTGGAGAGCAAAATTCGAGTATCGTGACGTTTCGCCGGTAACGACAAACAGCATCAGGAGGCGACAGTCACAGAGTTGTGTGGATATTTAATTTTCTTCGCAGGCGACGCTCGGTTACGTGGAAAAACGCTTGGTGACATCGCGGCCTAACCCCGAAACTCAACTGTGAATCCCGGCACCGGCTGCGGAAACCCTGCGACATTGTCATCTCTAAAGGCGTCTAAACGCACCCTGATTAGTCCATCGTCTTACCGATGCGAGCAGTCATGCAGTGGTAATTCCCTTAATACATAGAGACCATAAATAAACACGTGTGTGTGGGTGAGTGTGTGTGTGAGTGTGTGTGTGGGTGAGTGTGTGTGGGTGAGTGTGTGTGGGTGAGTGTGTGGGTGTGAGTGTGTGGGTGTGAGTGTGTGGGTGTGTGGGTGAGTGTTTGTGTGAGTGTGTGGGTGAGTGTGAGTGTGTGGGTGTGTGTGAGTGTGTGTGTGAGTGTGTGTGTGGGTGAGTGTGTGGGTGAGTGTGTGGGTGAGTGTGTGGGTGAGTGTGTAGGTGAGTGTGTGGGTGTGTGTGTGGGTGTGTGTGTGTGGGTGAGTGTGTGGGTGTGTGTGTGTGGGTGAGTGTGTGGGTGTGTGTGTGGGTGAGTGTGTGGGTGAGTGTGTGTGTGTGGGTGAGTGTGTGGGTGTGTGTGTGAGTGTGTGGTTGAGTGCGCACGCCACTGGAGTCTTTTTTGTGGTGATTAATAAATTAAAATAGAGCATGACCATATCAACTCAAACTACATCGTTAACATGCAGACTTCTCTAAAACAGTATAAACGCACTCAAATCGTGAAACGTGGATTCCTGGGTTAAAAAATAACTTAGCCGACGACTAGGGGACATTCTAACGTTAAGACGAGAAAATAAAATCGGTGTTCCCGGAAATGTTTTTGTCACGAGGTGCATAGCCCGCAGTGACGAAGTCGGCAGGGAAAGGGAACACCGTGGTGGGGTGGGTGGGGTTCTCTCCACGACTCCAAAAGAAAAACCGTGACGCTTTACTCGCGGATTCATCGCGAGATCGTCGCGAGATCGTCACAAGATCGTCACGAGATCGTCGCGAGATCGTCGCGGGATCATCGCAGATTCATCACGAGATCGTCGCGAGATCGTCGCGGGATCGTCGCGAGATCGTCACGAGATCGTCGCGAGATCGTCGCGAGATCGTCACGGATTCATCGCGAGATCGTCGCGAGATCGTCGCGAGATCGTCGCGGGATCGTAGCGGGATCGTCGCGAGATCGTCGCGAGATCGTCGCGAGATCGTCGCGCCGCCTGCGGGCACGAGGGTGTTACTCTTTATTTTTTTCGGTAAAGTCACGTAGAAATAAGAAATAATAATGAAATAAAATTACATAATAGCATACGACGTTTCGATTGCAACGCAAGCAATCATCATCAGGTATAGAAGAGCTAAATTGAAGAGAGAGAGGAAACACAGAGAGATGGAGAAGCACATCATATTGGACAACATTTAGTACAATTTTGGAAACAATATAATGCAGCACAGAGGGTCAGTCAAAACACAATTAACGCATGGTCTGGCTGATTACGTTATTTCAAAGAATACTAAATTATAGGTTGAGTGATAGAGTACAGAGTGATAGAGTACAGATAGAGTACAGATCACAGAAACATATACAGACATCCAAGCAGAGAGAGCCAGCATAGAGATGTCTGTATATGTGTCTGTGATCTGTACTCTATCACTCTTAACCTATAATTTAGCAATCTTTGAAATGACGTAATCAGCCAGACCATGCGTTAATTGTGTTTTGACCGACCCTCTGTGCTGCATTATATTGTTTCCAAAATTTTAATAAATCTTGTCCAATTTGATGTGCTTCTCCATCTCTCTGTGTTTCCTCTCTCTCTTAAATTTAGCTCTTCTATACCTGATGATGATTGCTTGCGTTGCAATCGAAACGTCGTATGCTATTATGTAATTTTATTTCATTATTATTTCTTATTTCTACGTGACTTTACCGAAAAAACCAAAGAGGAATTCCTGCAGTCGCGAAAGCACCAAATCACGAGGGTGTTACACGCAGCGGGCGTCGTGGGGCACGTGACTCCGTCACGTCAGCACAACACTCCCCCCCCACCCCCCGCTCACAAGGAGGGGGGGGGGAGGCGAATTGCCGACGACCCCTCCCTGCCCCCACCCGGAGGGGTAAACCGTACAGACTTTTGTTTTTGCTTTTAAGGGACCCAAAACAATCAAACAAAAAATCCCTCCAGATATTTTGCAGGATTGTAAGAGCGTCGCACGAGCCCCGACCGGACGCGTCCACCGATTGGTGGACGCGTCGCGCGAGCTCGCGCTACCCCTTGCATCCGCGTGCAGCGCGCGGAAATTTTTCTCTAAAAACGACGACGACGACGACGACGTTAAAACATTCTCAGAACCAACCAATGCCCTGTGAAATCAGATCCAACATTCACCGACTCAAAAATTTCGGCGAATGTCCCCAGCACGATGTGAGCGGGGGGGGAGGGGAGAGCTCTTCCCCAACACACTAGTCGGACGATCCTCTCTCTCTCGCGCGCGTCCGTGACGAGAGAGCGTCTGTCCGACCGTCCGTCCGCTGTCACACGGCTTCACGGCGACCGCGGTGGGGGGCGGGGAGGGGGGGGGGGGGGCCCTCGGTGTCGCGAAACGTCGCTCCCAGAATGCCAGGCTCCCGAGCTGCGGACATGGCGACCGCTTTCCCGGGATAATCTCGGAGGGCCTCTCCCCCCAGTGCTGGGGGCGATTTTTATTTTTATTTTACGAAGACGCGAATCCAAGCGGAGCGGCCCGTCTCTGGAGCGGACCTCCGTTCCACGCGGCGGGCGGAATCCCTGGTGACCGAGACTCCGAGCTCACCCCGGCGTCTATTCGCCCTCCGTCACCTCCAGCACGGTGCTCGGTCTGGACACGCCGTCCGGGTTCTGCGGGTAAAACAGAAACAATGAAACCACTCGGTGAACGCCTCTTGTCGCGAATGGCGCCCTTTAGCCTCGGGCCCCGCGCGGTGGACAGCAGCTCCGCAGGATGCGAACATTAAACCCTAAGCAGCCAAGAAACTGAAAAAGCCAAGCGTAGCGATGGGCAGGAGTGGCAAGAAGTTTGGTGGCAGAGCACACGATCCAACCAATCCCAATCCCTACCCTAACCCTCACCAACCAGCCACCCCTGTGGACTATCCGACCTTAGCCCTACACCCCAATTCCCATTTCCAGACCGCTTTGTGTTCAGTTTCAATTTTGGGGTTCACATCTCCATTGTGTCTTATTGTGACGGTTACCCAATGGTGGAGATGCCCTATGGTGGAGGTGCCCTATGGTGGAGCCTGCGGAGAAGGTGACCTGTAGAAAAACACCCGATGGGGGGAGAATCCTGTGGTGGTGTCGCGTGGAAGAGGTATTCAAGGGGCCCTGCGACGGAGGTGCCCTCTGCAACGGTGATGAGATGTTAACTACCTCGCTTGCTTCACAGGAGGTCGTGGGTTCCATCCCGACCTGGACGCCCGCTGTATATTTGGAGTTGGCGTGTCTCTCTCCCCGTGTTCTCGTGGATTTTTTTCTCCGGGTCCTCCGGTTTTCCCCTCCACATTTAGAATCAACGTCACGCGTTTAAGAGTATTTGGCTGCTGCTATAAGTTTCCAGGTGACGACGACAAGCCACTTCGTTGCGCTATAATTTGTGATGGCAAGGGTCGCTTCTGAAAAATAGCTACATCGTAGCTCAATGGGGCCTTCACCTAGTAAAATAAAAATAGTTAGAGTAAATAGTGGGTGCCCTGCAGCAGAGTAGGTACTCAAAGGGCCCTGCGATAGAGGGTACGGCCCTGCGGAGGAGGGCAGCCAGCCGCCCGTGGTTTAGAACCCCGGTGGGGCGGACAGCCAAGGTGGCGATATCCTCAAGTTGTCCATGAAGCGCGGAATAATCAGCCTTCAAGGCTGGGAGGAGCGGCGGGCTGGCTGCCGACCGACTAGGGGTGGCGCCGCTGCATCAACCCACCGGGCCGCGGCCACACTTGAAGACCCAGGACGTCTCGATGTCGAAGCGGATCGTCGCCCAACAACAAAAAGAAAGGAAAATGGAAGCCAAGCCGGCGCCGCGGATTCCACTTCCATCTGGGACCGACGTGGCGCTCCCCCGATGCCAAAGAGATTATGCGGATCCAGAATCGGACTGTCCAGCCCCGCCTCAACAAGGGCAACCGCTGAAAACCTGATGGACGTCATCCTTCGAACCCCAAGGGACCGCCGACCACGCCGGTGGGGACGGAAAGCCGAGGCGGTGGGTGGGGGGGGGGTTTGCCGTCGGCCAGGGGCCTCACCGAGGAGAGGGGCCTCACCGAGGAGAGGGGCCTCACCGAGGAGAGGGGGTTGGCAGGAGCGTGCCTCTCCGTGGGGCTGCGGACGGCGAAGAATCCCTGCGAGGGGTCGAGTCCCCCCAACGCCTCGAGGCCGTCCAGCACCTCCAGGCTGTCCATGCGAGGCACCTTGTGCATGGGGCTCGCCATGGGCGTGTAGCTGTTGCGGCGCTGCAGGGGGCTCGGACCCTTCTTGGGCCCCGTCTGCCGGGGATTCGAGACGGAGAGCCGGCGGTCAGGGGCGGCGCCGCCATCGTCGGCCGCTTCCCCCCCCCCCGTAATTGGAGGGTTCGTTGTCACACTCGGTGTCATCAACCACAGCGTCGTCACACTCTGCGTCATCAACCACAGCATCGTCACACTCTGTGTCATCAACCACAGCATCGTCACACTCTGTGTCATCAACCACAGCATCGTCACACTCTGTGTCATCAACCACAGCATCGTCACACTCTGTGTCATCAACCACAGCATCGTCACACTCTGTGTCATCAACCACAGCGTCATCACACTCTGTGTCATCAACCACAGCATCGTCACACTCTGTGTCATCAACCACAGCGTCGTCACACTCTGTGTCATCAACCACAGCGTCGTCACACTCTGTGTCATCAACCACAGCATAGTCACACTCTGTGTCATCAACCACAGCATCATCACACTCTGTGTCATCAACCAGAGCATCATCACACTCTGTGTCATCAACCACAGCGTCGTCACACTCTGTGTCATCAACCACAGCGTCGTCACACTCTGTGTCATCAACCACAGCATCATCACACTCTGTGTCATCAACCACAGCGTCGTCACACTCTGTGTCATCAACCACAGCGTCGTCACACTCTGTGTCATCAACCAGAGCATCATCACACTCGGCGTCATCGACCACAGTGTCGTCACACTCTGTGTCATCAACCACAGCGTCGTCACACTCTGTGTCATCAACCACAGCATCATCACACTCTGCGTCATCAACCACAGCATCGTCACACTCTGTGTCATCAACCACAGCGTCGTCACACTCTGTGTCATCAACCACAGCATCGTCACACCCTGTGTCATCAACCACAGCGTCGTCACACTCTGCGTCATCAACCACAGCATCATCACACTCTGCGTCATCAACCACAGCGTCGTCACACTCTGTGTCATCAACCACAGCATCGTCACACTCTGCGTCATCAACAACAGCATCATCACACTCTGTGTCATCAACCACAGCATCGTCACACTCTGTGTCATCAACCACAGCATCGTCACACTCGGTGGTGTCGCACTCTGTGGAGTCACACTTGGGTTTCATCGAATACAGCGTCGTCACACTCTGCATTATTACACTCAACATCATCAACCACAGCATCGTCACACTGGGCGCCGTAATCACAATCGCCATCGTCACACACTCAGCGCTGTCACACGAGCCACGTACGTTTGCCCTCTCGCGGTATGTGTTGGCGGCCTCCACGTTCAGGGAGATGTTCTCCACTTTGCAGCCTGTGAAGAGACATGATCATTCATTGGGTGCACTTCAACAGAGCAACGAGGCCCCCTTCATGTGACTGGTGGCCGAATATCAAAATAAACATCAACAATTAAACACGGTTGCCAAGCACAGGTCAGAGATCCAAAACATCCAGGGTCCAGCAACAAACAGCACCATCACAGTCGGAACAGGCAAGAGTTAACACGCTTCTCGAAACGAGCGAGGTAACTGTAGGAGCTTGGGGAGGGAATTCCCAAGAGTAAAAGTGGGAAGGAAGAAGCAGATAGGGAAGTGTTGTGACCTGCAGTGTGGTGAGTGGGTGAGTGTGTAGTTGTGACCTGGAGTGTGGTGAGTGGGTGAGTGTGTTATTGTGACCTGCAGTGTGGTGAGTGGGTGAGTGTGTAGTTGTGACCTGCAGTGTAGTGAGTGGGTGAGTGTGTTGTTGTGACTTGCAGTGTAGTGAGTGGGTGAGTGTGTAGTTGTGACCTGCAGTGTGGTGAGTGGGTGAGTGTGTTGTTGTGACCTGCAGTGTGGTGAGTGAGTGAGTGTGTTGTTGTGACCTGCAGTGTGGGGAGTGGGTGAGTGTGTTGTTGTGACTTGCAGTGTAGTGAGTGGGTGAGTGTGTTGTTGTGACCTGCAGTGTAGTGAGTGGGTGAGTGTGTTGTTGTTGTGACCTGCAGTGTGGTGAGTGGGTGAGTGTGTTGTTGTGACCTGCAGTGTGGTGACTGTGTGGTGAGTATGTTGTTGTTGTGACCTGCAGTGTGGTCAGTGGGTGAGTGTATTGTTGTGACCTGCAGTGTGGTGAGTGGGTGAGTGTGTTGTTGTGACCTGCAGTGTGGTGAGTGGGTGAGTGTGTTGTTGTGACCTGCAGTGTGGTGAGTGGGTGAGTGTGTTGTTGTGACCTGCAGTGTGGTGAGTGGGTGAGTGTGTCGTTGTGACCTGCAGTGTGGTGAGTGGGTGAGTGTGTTGTTGTTGTGACCTGCAGTGTGGTGAGTGGGTGAGTGTGTTGTTGTTGTGACCTGCAGTGTGGTGAGTGGGTGTGTTGTTGTGACCTGCAGTGTGATGGTTGAACACGGCGTGATGGATGAGATGACCCAGTCTGGAAGACCGAGTTCTCAACATTGGTGGAGGAGGAATCAATGAGTGAAGTTCAAGGAAATAGAAACCAAGGCACATAGCCACCAGAGTGGCAATAGAAGAGTGATAAGGAGGAGACGGAGTTGGTAAGCAAGTGAATTGGCGAGTTGGATCAAACAACTTGATGCTATGAGGTGAATGCTGAGTTGTTCTAAACATGTGCAATGACAATACAGCCTGCATGCGGTGTGAGTGGACTAGTGGCCACGGGAGGTAATGACAGGGGAGTCAGCCTAGAGTGTGAGTGGACTAGTGGCCACGGGAGGTAATGACAGGGGAGTCAGCCTAGAGTGTGAGTGGACTAGTGGCCACGGGAGGTAATGACAGGGGAGTCAGCCTAGAGTGTGAGTGGACTGGTGGCCACGAGAGGTAATGACAGGGGTATCTGTTGAGTACAAAGGGACTGGTGGCTACGGGAATGATCGAGAAGGGAGCGTGGTCAGGTGACGGAAGCGGACGGTGGAGTCTGCCGGTGGAGCGAGCGTCCAGAGTCAGCGAGAATGATCGAGAAGGGGGGCGTGGCCTCGGTCGGTATTTTAGGGGGAGATGCGCGGGAGACTCGGGGCTGTTGCAGTGGAGGTCTCCGCTTGATGTCAAGTGAACGTGCCTTCAATAAAGTGGCATCTCAAGATAAGTGTGCCAAGTCGTCATTACACTTGTACGACCAGCATTCAGAGGCCTGCACTAACAGACCAAACGTGTGTGGCTCATAACACACTCCATTCAGAGGCCCATATTACAGAAGCCTGATTTAGAAGCCTGCATTAAGAGGTCTACATTAAGAGGCATGCATTAAGAGGCCTGCATTTAAAAGCCTGCATTATTAGACCAGCATCACCTACTTGCTGCGTGTAATCAAAGGCAGTGATTTCCTGCTCAAGTGAGTATTATTGCAGTGCTGTTCTCCATTCGCAGCCGTGAGCCAGCAGTCAGAATTCCAAATTCCTATGGCAGGGGAGAGCGCCCCAAACCACGGTACAAGCACTGTTGGGACTAAACCAGGATTGTAACTGGCAATCCGACCGATCGCTATTCTCAATCCAACCGATCGCAACTCGTACAGATCGCACTCCTACAGATCGCACTCCTACAGATCGCACTCCTACAGATCGCACTCCTACAGATTGCACTCCTACAGATCGCACTCCCACAGATCGCACTCCTACAGATCGCACTCCTACAGATCGCACTCCCACAGATCGCACTCCTACAGATCGCGCTCCTACAGATCGCGCTCCTACAGATCGCGCTCCTACAGATCGCGCTCCTACAGATCGCGCTCCTACAGATCGCAACTCCTACATATCGCAACTCGTACAGATCGCACTCCCACAGATCGCACTCCCACAGATCGCGCTCCTACAGATCGCGCTCCTACAGATCGCGCTCCCACAGATCGCACTCCTACAGATCGCACTCCCACAGATCGCACTCCCACAGATCGCACTCCTACAGATCGCACTCCCACAGATCGCGCTCCCACAGATCGCGCTCCCACAGATCGCGCTCCCACAGATCGCGCTCCTACAGATCGCGCTCCTACAGATCGCGCTCCTACAGATCGCGCTCCTACAGATCGCACTCCTACAGATCGCACACCCACAGATCGCACTCCCACAGATCGCACTCCCACAGATCGCACTCCCACAGATCGCACTCCCACAGATCGCACTCCCACAGATCGCACTCCCACAGATCGCAACTCGTACAGATCGCACTCCCACAGATCGCACTCCTACAGATCGCACTCCTACAGATCGCACTCCTACAGATCGCACTCCTACAGATCGCACTCCTACAGATCACACTCCCACAGATCGCGCTCCTACAGATCGCGCTCCTACAGATCGCACTCCCACAGATCGTACTCCTACAGATCGCACTCCTACAGATTTCACTCCTACAGATCGCACTCCTACAGATTGCACTCCTACAGATCGCACTCCTACCGATCGCACTCCCACAGATCGCACTCCTACAGATCGCACTCCCACAGATCGCACTCCTACAGATCGCACTCCCACAGATCAAACTCCTACAGATTGCACTCCTACAGATCGGACTCCTACAGATCGCACTCCTACAGATCGCACTCCCACAGATCGCACTCCCACAGATCGCACTCCTACAGATTGCACTCCTACAGATCGCACTCCTACAGATTGCACTCCTACAGATCGCACTCCTACCGATCGCACTCCCACAGATCGCACTCCTACAGATCGCACTCCCACAGATCGCACTCCTACAGATCGCACTCCCACAGATCAAACTCCTACAGATTGCACTCCTACAGATCGGACTCCTACAGATCGCACTCCTACAGATCGCACTCCCACAGATCGCACTCCCACAGATCGCACTCCCACAGATCGCACTCCCACAGATCGCACTCCCACAGATCGCACTCCCACAGATCGCACTCCCACAGATCGCACTCCCACAGATCGCACTCCCACAGATCGCACTCCCACAGATCGCACTCCCACAGATCGCACTCCCACAGATCGCAACTCCACCCTCCCCCTCCCCCCATCGTGCTCACCGTACGCGATGGGCGTGAGCTTCAGAACCGTGTGCAGGGGGCACTTGAGGTACGGCAGCTCCTCTGTGGGAACGAACGGAGAAGTGAAAGTGAAAAAATAACAAGTGCAGGCAAAACCATCGCGCGACCTCCCATCATCCTCGCAGCAGCAGCAGCGGCTTTTGGCTGCTCGCCATAGAACAAAGACGGTTGTCACCGCATCGTGCGGCGCTTTCGGATGCGCTTCTGCGGCCGTCTGGAACGCTCTTCCTTCCGATATTAGGAAGCCACTGGAGCTATGCACTTTTAAATCATCAACTAGTTGTTTTTAGTTTGTTGGCCTTCCTCCGCACCTCCGATTAACACGGTTGGCTACGTACGATGAGAAAGAAGTTCAGTGTACAAACATACAACTCAGCTGTTCTACGAATCGTAAAACTCCTGACAGCTCTCGCCAACCAGCGACCGCTACGTCGTTGTCACGCCGGTCGGGCACGAGCGTCTCGTGGCAATTGGACGGTTGTGAGTTCAAATCCTGGATGGGGGGTGGGGGAGGGGGGGGGTTGACAAAGCCCATCATCCATCCCTCCGGGGTGGCTAAAATGAGTCCAACTTAGTGAACAAGTTGAACAAGTCGACAGCGGTTGTCCTATGGATAGACTCACCCCTGCCATGTGAATGTGCAATTTCCACCACTGGCTCAGGGCTGTAAACTGGAAATGAGCACCAATGCCTCAATGCTTATTTGAGCACTAAATCGCTTTGACTTTGACAACAATAACAACAATAATAATAACCATACTTAACCACACCGGTGGCGGGGCGACGAGACCGGGCGTGTTGAGAGGGTGATGTGGCTGCGAGCGAGCGATGAGGAGGGCGAGGAGGGCGAGGAGGAGGAGGGCGAGGAGGAGGAGGGCGAGGAGGAGGAGGGCAAGGAGGAGGAGGGAGGGGGGCGAGCACCTGCGCCCTTGTCGAGGAAGTACGCGAGCAGGCAGCGCATGGCGGCCTGGTGCGACACGACCAGCACGTTCTCCTGCCGCTCCAGCTCCATGATCACCGGCTCCAGCCGCTGCACCAGGTCCTGGTACGACTGCGGGAGAGAGACGGGGGGGGGGGGGGCGGTGAAGGTCATAATTTGACGGATGTATATACTACAAGCTGGACAAAGAAAAAATCCAGTAGTGGAGCCTCCATCTAGCGTGTTGCCATGTGTCGCAGTGCGGTGTCGTGCCGTGCGGTGTCCTGCGGTGCCGTGGGGTGCCGGGCGTTGCCGTGCGGTGCCGTGTGTTGCTGTGCAGTGCGGTGCCGTGCGGTGCCGTGCGGTGCCGTGAAGCGCGACAATGCCCACCTCGCCGTTAGGGTAGCGGTAGAGGTACTTGTCAACGTCTCTCAGCGCGTACTCGTCAGGAAACGTGTCCCTCACCTCGTCGTACGTCATGTCCTCGCACACGCCCTGCGAGGGGGGGGGGGGCATGAGGGACGAATCGCCCGCCCGGTGAGTCGCCGCCGTGCCGGGCGTGGCGATGACGACACGAACCGTGGCGGTCTACGATAGGTCTCCCTAGCGAAGTCCCTGGGGTCACGTCGACAGCACAGGAGGGCACCCCCTCCTCCCCCTCCCCCTCCCCCTCCCCTCCCCCTCCCCTCCCCCTCCCCTCCCCCTCCCCTCTCCTCCGCCTCTCCTCCCCCTCTCCTCCCCCTCTCCACCCCCTCCTCCCCCTCCTCCCTCTCCCCTCCCCCGTTCTTCCTCCCTCCTCCCCCCTTCCCCCTCCCTCCTCAAGTGACCATTGAGGCATCGGTGCTCAACTCCCCTTAACACCCTTGAGAGCCAGTGATGGAAATTCAACATTCCTATGGCAGGGGACAGTCTATCCCTAGGACAACCACCGTTCACTTCCCAACAAAGTAGTACTCTAGTACTTATTTTATCGACCCCGGGGGAGGGGGTATAATGCGCTAAGTCAATCTGCAACCGGGATTTGAACTCGTGACCTTCTGACTGCGAGCCTCTCGCTCTACCACGGAGTAGCCACCTGGGCTGGATAAAATTCATCAAATCGCCCCACGCAGCGTCTCCTCACAACGGGGGACAAACTCTGCGTAAACACGCAGCCCCATGCCAAGCAATCGGCCTGCGCTGATACCCGATCCGCACCTTCCACTCCACAGAATATCAGCGGTGGGAAGCACCGGATGAGTTGACTGGGATTGACCCAGGAGCGTAATGATGATGATAGTGATCACGGTGATGATAGTGGTTGATGATGGTGGTGGTGATGATGATGGTGGTGGTGATAGTGATAATCGTGATGATAGTGTTGATGATGGAGGTGATTTTGAAAGTGATAATGGTGATCATAGTGATAATGGTGGTGATGATAGTGTTGATGATGGTGTTGATGATGATGGTGATAGTGTTGATGGTGATAGTGTTGATGATGGTGTTGATGATGATGATAGTGTTGATAATGATAGTGACAGTGATAGCGTTGATGATAGTGTTGATGATGATGATGGCAATGGCATTGATGATAGTGTTGATGATGGTGGTGATAGTGTTGATGATAGTGTTGATGATGGTGTTGACGATGGTGTTGACGATGGTGTTGACGATGGTGTTGACGATGGTGGTGTTGATGACGATGGCGACGACGACGATGTGGGGAGCGCTGCTCACGGCGTCGAGCTCGTTGAGCGGCTTCCACTGCTCGTAGGGGAGGCCCAGGGCCTCGGCCGTCTGGATGGAGCGCCGCAGCTGGCTCGTCCACACCTTGAGGTCCTCCAGGCCCTGCTCGCGGATGTAGCGGCCCAGCGCCTTGGCAAACTGCGCCGGCACGGGGGGGGAGGGGGGGGGGGGGTTGACACGCGCGGCGGTTACACGTGCCGATTACACGCGTGTGCAGCGGTCAGACGCGCGGGGCAGGCATCAGGGCTGGAAGGACGCGGCGTCCATCCGTCGATGACACTCGTGCCCCGCAGCGC